TCCTGGTCCAGCATGGCCTGATGAGAAAAGCCGTTTGCCAAGCTCCTTCGGAAGCGAGTGTGATCGGCACGGTTGGCACCAATAATGTTGGTTACATGTAATTCTTGGCGGATGGGATCCTTTCGGTGCTCCGGCTGTCCAGCCTTGCGGTGACCACGAATATCATTCATAGCATCTGGGTGGCTGAAAGACAGGAAGTCGGGAGCAATGCGGACAATGGGTCCATACTTGAGATGAAGATCCAAAACATCGCGGTGGCCCTCACCACTGATAAGGAGGCGGGAGTAGGGGAAGCGAGAAATGGCCGACAGCTTGGGGCCGGGAAACTTGCTCAAGGGGTGAAAGTAGAGATTGTAGATGCAAAGCCAGACAAAATAGCCAAAACCCTATACGATAGCACCGACGTGTCAACATGGTAGAAAATCTCATCACAGAGTAAAACTTACAAACACTATAACAGCGAGCGGAAGAGCCAAGCTGAGCTTGACTGGGATGACGGCTTTTGCAGCATCGTTGCTGATGAGAATGCCCATCGCGGAAAAGTTTCAGATTTACTCGTCTTCACCAAAAGTTTCCAATGATTGAAAGAAGCTATGAGAAGAGGGGAAGAGCGATTGTGATATCTGCCGGTCCATGTAGTAGCAAACACCACTTTATATATAGCGGAGTTGACCGTTGCATTTGCAACATCATGTACGGCAATGTTCCCCCGAATACTCCCCTACAACATACACGCAAGCAACCACGCACGCAATACTACTACGATGTATTTCTGCTACCCCCTTCGTCTGTCTCAAGTGCTCCATTTTGCGATCGACCGCGGAAAATCTGCTGTGAGATCGGAGATGCGGCCGCGGCCCCATCTCACGGGAGAGTTTAACAACCCGCAATGCGTCCTGCAGTAGCTGCCACAGTATTGGCCATAAGGAGGGTTCAAAGGGGGGCGCTGGGACCATATCCGTGGAAACTCCTCGGAGCAAAGCCACACGCATTGCTGTAGGGAGGAAATATATATCACCACCCCTGCACTTAAGCAGCTTTAATGTAACCTCCCGTGGTCTGCGTCTGGCCACTCCGCAGTGGGGCGGAGACACAAATAGCTTGCTTTTATTTCTTTTACGTGTATCGAAAATACATACTTGTACGAGACTCTGCATCCGCCTCGCACGAGACAATGTCGTGTCGAAATGTGCCGTTGCGGAAATAAAGCTGGCGGTGCCCCATGATACCAATATCAGGTCCGCATTGCCCCGTAATATGCGGAAATATCTGGTGATGGATGGATGCTCAGCGCCGTCTCAGATGCAGCCGAAAAGGCGATATGGCCGTTGGGGAGAGTTTCATCCGTTGTATTCTACCGCATGAAGTATTGCATGGGGTAAATACCTGCATAGATGACGCAACTGAAGACACTCTCGCCTTTACTTTGCTAATCGAAGGCCGGGAAATATTAGGTGGGCAGTGTTCATTAGGTAGCATGTGACAGTACGTCCGCGAGCACTCTATGTGTGATTCTAAAACAAGTTGGCTATAGCGATGCAACCTGCACTATAGATGCAAAACCATTGAAGGGATTGACCAAAGAGAGAATTCGACGGATAATTAATGCACGAGCGATAATAAAGAGGTAAAGAGATAACTGGACGAGTCAGCATTACTTGCTCACGTTGTCAGTTGCGACTCGATAACAATACTACCTGTAATATCGCTGATACTTTACAACTTTGCTGATTCAAGTCTAGCGGGCCAATCCTAGGAAGTGACTTAACACTAATAACAAAGCGACCAATTACAGCTCATAGTAACCGAGCAATGCAGCATTCGAACGTCCATGCAGGCCCTAGGCTAGTCCAAGGTAGAGGCTGGGTTGTCAAAATTGGGGCGGGAGTTTCCACCCCGGTTGTTTTAGAAGTTCCGTGGAAAAATTACCCTTTTTTACTACTCCGTACAACGAAGCGATCCTCAGAGTTATAGGGGCATGAAAAGTATTTAGGAGCCCGATTTATCATCTTGCGGGTTTGTGTGGAACCAAAGTTGCTGTCGCGACTTCGTCCCAGTGCACAAAAGCCGCGTGTAAATAGAACAGGTATCTCTTTGTCAGGGTGCAATTATCTTCAAAGCTGTTCGATAAATAGATTAGCAAACCAGTAGTGCCTATGAGCGTACGAAAACAGATCAAATGCTCCCAAGTTATTAGTCTGTGAGGCTAACAGTTCTCAAAGCACTGCCCTAGTGCAGGTCTGACGTTGTATAATTTGAGTATAGTACCTGGAAAACTCATACTGTAGCTGCTTTTTTACCTTCGAGTCATGGATGCTGTTTGTTTTGCTGGGTTTCTTTCTCACTCTGGTTGGCCTCGACAATATGGCACGTGGCTAATGCAAGTCGTCTTATATTTCATCTTCGTAGTTGTATCTCCGTAAGCAACCTATGCTCCGATTTGGCTGCGACCATGCGATGTTTACGTGTCATCAAATCTCTATCTTGCATGTTGAAAATTTAACTAAATTGTCAAGAACGCCGACTATATACAACTTATTACTGAGCCTTGCTAAGCTAATGCCAGCAAAAAAAAGAGGGGGAAAGAGAACGGTGGATTTGTTGATTGAGAATCTCGCTACCAGGCGAGCGTAGTTAGTTCTGCAAAGAGCGGATCATCCGTTACGCGTATAATGAAAGACAAATAGAACCACCAGAAAATTATAGATCCGTAGATCGGTGAATTTCCGCCTTAAGATTTACTCATCGAGTATTAACAACTTAAAAAAACATGCAACGCGCTATTCATCAGTAAGTATGTCGCATGTAAACACCACCTCTTACCCTCCTCCGTAGCCTGGTATAGACCTTGTTGCTAATATTGGCTTGGGAGGCATCAAACAAATAGACGTTGTAGACTCATCTAGGAAGCCATTTTCTCTACAACGAGCCCGATAATGAGTATTTGTCTCCATATTTTGATGTGAATAGAGCCTCACTACAATAAGCCGGTACGAGAACATCACATGACTAGAAATATATAAATTCCTGAGTGTTGAGAATATCCTGGGTTGTCTCACAGCCAGAGGGCATGAAGAAATTCAGGTCAAATTGCTAGGATATCTAGATTCTACGCAGGTTCTTTATGAAATATTACAAGCTGGATGTCCGATAGTCGCTGCACTAATTTGAAGCTCGACATGTATGTCGCACACCTGGGCAAAGGGGACGGACAGCTGATAACGAGCGCGGCATCACTCTCGACAGCTGTCCCCATCACCTGGCAACGAAACGCTCAATACTCGAAAGGCAATTGGCTCTTTCGTCTCTTCTCTTGTTTTGTTTCCACAGGAACAAAGCTTCCTTTTTTCTTTCCCCCCAAACGCGAAGTTTTCTTTCTCCCACATCACACTTTGACGTTGAACTCCTCCGACATCACCTTTCAAAATTGAACTCTACACTCTGACGTTGAACTCCTCCGATATCATTTTTCAAAGCTGAACAATACGCTCTGACGTTGAACTCCTCGGACATTACCTTTCAAAGTTAAACTCCTCCCACCGATACCCAAGTAGACCATCCCGACAAGGTGAGACGACGCGTCACAGCGAAGATGAACGACGTCGTAGCGAAGATGTACGATGCAATCGCAAAGTGCGATACCGCCTCGGAGAAGAATAAAGAGGCTGCAACGATGCTGTTGGAGGCTGCAAAGATGATGTTGGAGGCCGCAGACATGTTTAAGGCCGCTGCAGAGCAATTCAAAGCCGGTGTCGAGAAAATCACAGCGATCGAGGCGGCCGGAAGTAAGTCGCCTGAAGACGAATAGAATCTGTGACGAGGATGTTAGGGGAGGGGGGGAATCTTTCCTTTGGTATGGGGTATATTGGGCTCTAATGATGCTGTGTTTCTGTCAGGCTATGGCCTTAGACAGAGGTGGAAAGATAATCTACAGTTTGCGCGAATCCCACGTTGCCTGTATCCAGTGATGTCTGCAAACTCCCTTAGACCTGATCGCTTCTCGTCCCAAGAACGATGTGCAACCTACTACCGGACATAATGATATTATGGCAGGTGATCGAGATCCGACGTAGAGCGACGGGATCAGATGCATTCTAAACTCACGACCGTCAAGCAACGAGGGTGAGTCTGCGGCAAAAAGAGGACATGCGTAATGCGCTTCAAAACAACGCGTGGGACAAGGCTGCCGAAGCCCGCGATCGAGAGAGAGCCGGAAAGCCACCCAAGACCCAGTCGTGTCTCGTCCAGCGCGTATCCCTCTGATGAAACGCACGAGATTATGCGATGTTCAATAATGAGAAAGTCCCTTATCTGATCTCGTGAATGCCACCGGAGAATTCCGCATCGCCGCCGATCCTCATGCGTCAATCGAGTGTACATGTAGCTACATATAAGTGTGCACCGCCTGTAGGTAAAGTAGGTAAACGCAATTCACTTTGCCCGAACCGACTCTCCAGATCATATCTGACACGTTGCTCATTGATCAACCATTCATCTTCCACTATTTTCTTTCTTCCGGACTTTTCTCTCCTCAGCTTTCTTTTTTCCTTGTCATACACATATTTCGCGGCACGGTCTCAGTATCCATCATAAATTTGCAAGGAACTCTGAAACAACTCCGAAATTCCTCGTATCCTTCTTCGTTGTTCTCCGATTCCTACGCCACGACTTTTCTTCTTCTTTCATATTCCTGAGTACTCATTTTCTGGTTCACCTTATTGCCACTGGTCGATCGTTATTCTTTCATTTAGGCATGCGCAAAGACTGGCAGAATCTGGCTCCCACAGGCCAGCCTCCATTGGACTCTGTTGTTGAACTATATGGAGACAAAGAGGTTTTTGATGTGTTAGAAGAAGTACAGTTCAACATGTATACGATCGAGTCCCTGATTTATGGTCATTGTTCCCAAGGATCACATCGGAAATCCGACCTGTTTCGGAAAATTAGAACTTTCTTTCACAATCATGCAATGCTAATTTTAAACTACAATAAACAAGTCTTTAAATATTAAGCCATTTGAAATAAGGACCAGTACTTGGCTCATGACCAAGGTAATCCCTCAGCGTTTTCTCTTCTGGCTGCTTACCTCCTACACAAAAGACAGTATCCCGAAATCTCCTTGCAGCATCCTTATTGAGAGTATTTGTCTTAAACTCACGGTTCCACATGTTTAAAGCAAACACTCGACCACTGATCAACGGATTAGATATGAAATCCGTCTGCAAAGAAAAGAAGATGCAACAGCACTTACGGAACATATGTATAATACCCAGCATCATATCCACTGACAATCATACGAAACACAGATTGTCCATGACTCCAGTCCCAGCCATCACCAATTGCCTCCCCGCCATGCATTGCCAAGATATCAGTCTGCAGTTTATTGAACATCTCAGCTAGATTCGCTTGTTCAAGTTCCCCATGGGTAGCTGGAGTGTGAACAAGTATATCGAAGTATGATAAAAAGAGGTTATAATTCTCGCGACTGATAAGCTTTTTGGGATCCTGCGTAGCCAGTTCGGCAACATCTTTGTCGCTCAGCTGTGCAGGTGGCTGTTCAATCCTACTTTTAATTTCTTGAAGCCACACAGACTTGTATTCTGGAGAAATATAAGAGTAGTGGTAGGAGAGGTTTTTGATATGGCGGGCTTCCCAAAAGAACTGTTCAAACCCTCCACAAAATCTCTATCAATGTAGGATAAGCTTGCATATTTGACTTTAGTGCATAAAGAATGATAGAGGTGTCCAAGCTCATAGAAGAGCTTTCGGACGTCCACTAAGCTTAGCAGAACCGGCTTTGAACCTAGCTTCGTATAGTTCATTACCAAGGCACAGGAAGGATAAAATCGTCCGCCGCCAGGGTTTGTATAGCCCCATTGGGTTGCATAGCTTCCGCCGTGCCCATATTTTCCCTCGCGAGGAAAGAAGTCAAAATACGCGTAACCAAGAAATTCACCTAATTTCCTAGTGTCCCAGACAGCGTACATGGAAACATCGTTGTGCCAGACAAGGGGCTTTCCATCTCCTAGCGCAGACTGCTGTTCAGGAGTGATGAGCTCAAACCGAGTATCAAATATGTGTCCGAGAAGCTCTAATAGTTTATCCAATGTGTGATATAGTTCGAAATATTCTGATATTGTCGACCGGATTTCTGATTCGTTTTCTAATTGTATTCTTGCGTAAAAGCTTTCATCCCAGAGGAAAAGTTTCTGATCCTCTGCAGTCTCTCCTCTTGCAATAACGTCTTTAATTTTTAAACCCAGTAACTCATCGGCGGCCTTGACAGCGTGTGGATGAATTCTCTGTCTAATTTCATCTAGAATAGTAATGACTTTATCGGGTGTTCGGGCCATCTTATCAGCTATCTTGTAAGCTAAGTAGTTTGGGTACTCTAATAATCTAGCGACTTCGTCTCGGCAGAGAACCAGCTCGCGAAACAAAGGTATATTTTGTGGTAACCTATTTTTCATCGCGTAGTACACTTTTCTGCGAGTGTCTTCTGACTTCGCATGTGAGATGATCTTAAACGGGCGGGGAACTTTTGTCTTCACCCAGACGTGACCCTCATGGTCGGCCTCGCCCTGCTTGAGCTGAGCCATAATCTTTTCTGGTACGCCTTCAAGTTCTTCAATGGAAAGCCAGATGCCAGAGCTGTCTTCATGAAGGTTTGCGTTACATTGCGTTACAAGCTTTTGAATCCTCTTCTGCGCTCGCTCGAAAGCCTGCTTTTTTCCCACGTCGGTAATTCCGCAGCCATTTTGCCTAAGCTTACGGTGTAGTTTTTGACATAATAAATAGACTCATCGTCCAAGCCTTTGCGTTCTTGGTGGATGCCATTCAGGACTTCACTAACTAGGCGATATATATCCACCCGAGAGTACAATTCCACATCAGCGTCATTGAACATTGAGGTGGCAGAATTAGATGCATCTCGTAGCTCTTTGCTTGGTGATGTAGAGCTGTAGAACCTGAGAATTCTCAATCTGGTATATTTTTGGTTTTCATCGGTAATAATGGGTATGATTGTGTTCTCGAACGTCGCGAAATTGGGTTGTACGTTCAGAGTAACGTCATCCCAGACAGTACGAGTATGGTCGATGAGAGCTTTGGCTTCTTCAATTAATGATAACGGTGTCGCATCAAAGGCCGGTGGTAACTGTGGAAGAGAACTAGACAAAATATTGAAGTTTCCCATCGTGGAAATGAGCAAAAGGTGTGCTTTAGCAACCGACAGGAGTTAGGCTTGTTCAACTATAAGTTGACATTATTACCTTGCAATTGAAACGTAGAAGCATTAGTGTATAATAGAGAACTAACCAACAAGTTGTCAATCGCATGCCTGTCGACTCTTGCTCAAGTTGGCGATGAATGGGTTTATCCTATGTCGACACTTCTCAGTGCCCGCATTTCGCTTTCCATCCTACGTGAGATGGGATCGGCACTCTTTGCCGGGCCTTATCTTTTCTGTTTCTGTGAAATGCGATGCCCAGTGGACTAGTACGAAGGGAGCAGGTGACTCCTTCTCTGGTGTTGTTGGGTTGACGCTTCACCAGCTCCTCCTCCAAGGAACAAAGAGCGCTATGTAAGTCGGAGTGTAGTGTGATTAAAAAGCATACACGAGTATCATGTGCTAGACTGTGATTAAATGCACTTTTGGCGCCGCTAATCTGCCTTTTTCTGCATGTTGGTTCGTCTTTCACAAATCGGCAAAATGTTGCCGGCCTAGTCTTTTGGCTGCCTCATCCTGCACATGCATGGTGGAAACTCCCTGTATTATAGCGAGTTAGAATTCTGTAGTCAGCACAGTCGTTACTATAGTTTTGTCTTATTCTATCAAAAGCTCTTCCACCTATGCTCTGTGGAATGAATATGTGAATGATGAACGATCCATTTGCCAATTGAAAACCATTACTGACTTTCTTAATATCTTCTGAGGTCAAAATTAGAGGACAGACATTTGCGAGGTATATGGCATTATGCTGTTGGGGTCACACGATACACCGCAACTTTTGCGCTGGATTTACTTAGCGCTCTGCATCTTTTGCTTTGCTGCCTCCAGTATATTTTATGGCCTCCAAGCGATGCGTTCTCTTTCAGATGTAGCATGTACACAGCTTTTCTTCCCTAATAGTACGTGTTATCAATATTCCATTGGGTTTCCATCACTTCTCTCGATTTTCTCATAATAACAAATGCACTGAACCTTACTATAGCACCTGCGCTTGAGGCCGTGGAATATCAACGGGAAAATTTCCGTGATCACTACTCAGATCGTGAGACCTATAGAGGACCACCAACTCCTGATCGCGAAGCAGCTTGGGAAGAATTCGCCCCGTGTTAGTACCTATGAATGCGTCAGACATTTCAGAGAGCAATGTAATGGATTGCTAATGTAACTTATTTTAGACGGAGTGAGTCAAGTTCCTTTGGATAGCCGCTCAAAGTCTAGCGAATATGCTGTTCTTGGAGTAATTTTACATTTAAACTGCGTGGTAAGTACTCAGCACTCTTGTAACAATATATAGCATATCGGGAATACTAAAAAGGACGCATAGAAGTTGATTCGTCAATATGTCTATATGACGGCAAATGAGACATATGCTGAAGGAACTTTGAGGTCACAAGTCAACGAATGTATAGAAGTTCTTCGCATGGAATTAGTCTGCAATTTCGATGCCACTCTATACTTGACCGCCAACACCAACCACTCTTTAAAAGGAACTGTTCCTGTCACTGGAAATGATCATATCTGTCGGAATTACCTCAAGATACTTCACTGGGCTCAACAACGCTTTACGAGTAGTAACGAGTCACTCCGTCAATTTGCCATTTCATTGTAAGGAGCAGAAAATAAAGTGCATGTTACTACATGCTTCTAAGATCTCACTTGGAAACACCCAGTCAAATGACATGCTCATCCCTCTGTTTCTTTGTGAAATGGCACTTCATTACAACAGATTTGCAGAGAAAGCTCACTCTACGCTCACTCAGGCATGCTGCTTTAAGAAAAGAAAAAAGAATCTAGGACGGGTGAGCAAAAGGTTACAGGGTGCCCTGCAGGTGCTTTAGGTGAGTTGAAGGTGAGCGATAGTATCTACTTACGGGGCATAGTAAATATTATGGCTCTTTGAAATATTTAATACGGGCTTCGCCTCTTAAAACAATTTCTAAGTTTATCTTCGTCTTATTCGCTATCTACCACTATATTAAATATTACGAAGTTCTCTTTACTATTAACTATCTATATTAAGCTTCCCTCCTACATCTACAGGTACCCCACCTTTTAGGTGCCTAACTACTAAAAACCTACCTATTTAACTAGCTATTAAATAAAACGACTATGATTTTTACTTTTATAGTCTTATCTATGGACTCTAAAGAGATAGAAACATCTGTAAACCCTCTAGGTAACTAAAATAGAACTAACCTTATTGCCCCTAGACCTATAATAGCCCCTTAACCTTAGAAGGAGATAACTCCCCTAATCCCAGGAATAGAAGAGGTTATAGTCCTCCTTTTTACTCCTAAGAAGAAGAGATACTTTAGAGAAGTAATTAAAGCATATAGAATTCTCTTATTTAGCTTTAATAGGGTAAAACTAAGTGCAGCGGCTGTAGTGTAAATAGTATTAAGAGGCTTTATTACTTTTATCTTTAGTAGTAAAAAGAAAGCTACTACTTTTAGCGTAAATAATAATTCCCTTACTAAAAATAAAATTATAGACTAAATTAAAGAAATTAATAGTTAGATATAGGCTAGATAGAATATTATTTTAAATATAGCTATAGCTATTAACTTCTGTTTTACCTAATACTTAAATAAACCCTTTATACTAATAGCGGAATAAATTTACCTAGCTTTAAATACTACGCTTAAAAACTTTATTACTTTATATATTAACCTATCGGGGGGGCCTAAAGTCCCTAAAAAAACAGGTTATTACAGCCTGACCTAAAGATAAGGTATATTAGGAATATACTATGGAAGAATATTTTACCTAAAGAACTAATTAGTATAGGAGTAATAAGTTTATTATAAGCTACCTTAGATAAATTACTTATAAAATAGTAATCCTATACTTAGGTTTATAATCCTAAAAGTAAGTTATTTAAAATAACTAAATATATAAGATTTAATTCTCTATGCTTTTTAAATAATATAAATAAATAATTATTAATAAAGTATTAAGATTAAATATAAACTAAATTTTTATTATATTTTACTTACTTTATAATTATATTTACTTAAAACTACTTCTTATTTTTTTTATTAATATAAATTAATTAACTTTAGCTTATTACCTTAGGAACTTACCTTATACTTTATAAATATTAAGTTAGGATATTATATATTAATAACTTTTATTTAGAAGGATACTAAGTTTCTTTAAGTAATAAACTATTATAGCTAAAGGATTAAATACTAATATTAAGGAAGTTACTTTTAATATTAACCTATTATAATCCAAACTAATAAAAAGTATAAAGGAAAGGTACCTAGAACAACTATTAACTAAATAACTAATTGTAAAAAGGAGTAACGAAAATCGGCGCTCCTATAATTAAAGCGACTTATATAAACGCTCCTAATACTTTAAGGAGTAATAGGTTATAGTGCTTTTTATAAAATAACTAAATATATAAAATTTAATTTTTTATACTTTTTAAATAATTTAAATAAATAATTATTAATAAAGTATTAAAATTAAATATAAATTAAATCTTTATTATATTTTACTTATTTTATAATTATATTTACTTAAAGCTACTTTTTATCCTTTCTGCTAATATAAACTAATTAACTTTAGTTTATTACCTTAGGAACTTACTTTATATTATTTAAATATTAGGTTAGGATATTATATATTAACGACTTTTATTTAAAAAAATATTAAGTACCTTTAAGTAATATAAACTATTATATTTAGAGCTAGAGTAGCCCCTAAGACCTTAACTACTAACTTTAGTATATTTATAGTTAAAAGTAATAGTAATATTATTATAATAAATTTACTTAATATTTTTTTATTTAAAAATTTAAAACTTTTTATACTTATTTAAAATATATATTAACTTAATAAAGTTTTAGTTAATAAACTTAATAAAGAAAAACTAAAGATTATTAACCTTAGAATTTTTATTAAATATTAACTACTTTTTATATTTAAAGGAGATATTAAAAAACTTTATTTACACTTAATTTAGCTTAAAGTATACTTTAAAGACTTTAAAAATACCTTTAATACTACTAAAAAAAAGGTTTACTTTATTACCTTATACTTTAAAAATACTACTTTAAAATAGTTTAAACTTATTTTAAATAATTACTTAAAAAGCTTAGCTAAAGAAGTAGAAGAATAAACTTAATAAATCTTTAATAATTATAATAAATATATTTTTAAACTAAAGAAAGTATTTAAAAATATTAGTAAAAATAAAATAGTTAAAAATACCTTAGTTATAATATATTAAAAAAAGAAATACTTAAATTACGTTATAAAATTCTAAGATATTATTATATATCTTAATTAAAATAAGTTAGTATTTATTAAATAATTTTATAATAGTCTTAAATAAGAGGTTAAAGAAAAGGTATATAACGTTAATTAATTAACTTATACCTTAATTTTATTTATAAATATTTATATTTAAGTTAATAATTTATTATATAAACTTAAGACTAGTACTACTTAGTAATATTAATAAAATAAGTATTACGCTAATTAAGGTAAAAAATAATATAAGGAAATTGCTAAAGATAATAGTAGTAAACCTAGAAGAATAAATTTAGATATTTTATAACGTAAGAAAGAATTTAAGTATTATAACTATAGTAAAACTAGCTATATAGTAAAAAACTGCCGAGTACTTAAGAAAAAATATAAAAATAAGATTCCTAAACTAAGAAAGGAAGTCTATATTATAAATAAAAATAAATAATTTTTTAATTTATTATAATAAGAAGATAATAATTGTCAGAGCCTATTTAAAGAGGGCGCGGTTGCGCAACGGCCGCGCACCGGCCACGTTACGGGGGCGCAAGCTAAGGGTTGCGAAGCCCTTAGCTTAGCAATAACACTATAAAAGACCTAAAACCTAGGGAAGGAATTAAGGAAGGCAGAGATAAATACAGTTACTTTACTACCCTAAGCTTACGTATTTATAGTATAGCTACTTATAATTATCCCTTATCCCTCTTTACTCTCTTTTACTAACCTAGCTTTTAATAGGTTTATTTCTTTACCTATAAAAAGTAAAGGGACCGTTAAGGATAAGGATAATTATTAATAAGATTTATTTATATAAACTATAATTTAGTAGCTATAAGGCTACGGTCCCGTAAACTTAACTATATACGTAACTGCAAACCCCTCTATAGGTAACTTTATAAATAAGTACTATAACCCTCCCTTAATAAAAGATTCTTAAGCTAAGTTAGCTTAAATCCCTTTTATTAAAGGAACTGTAAGAATATACTATAGCTGTAGTTAAAATATAAAAGAAAAAAAAATAATCTAGTATTTATAAATAATTAAGAATAAGGAGAACTTTATTTTTAATATTAGCCTTTTAGGTAAAAACCCTAAAGTAGAACTAAAATAAATCTACTTTAACCTATAGGGAAAAATCTAAATATTAACCCTTAAGTTTAAGGGGTAAGATTAAATAAAGCTACAGATATACCTTATGTACTTAAGTAACTAGTTTAACTTTAAAAAGGACTAGTTTAAAAAAAATATATATAAAATCTAATATATTAATAGTTATTTTATAAAAGATATAAAGCATTAATAGACCTTATTTTAAACTAAAGAATATTAACGCTCTTATATTAACTTTATATATAAATAGTATATAAAATAATATAAAAATAATATTAATAATAGGACTACCTACGTCTTTAATATAACTATATAATTAAACTGCCTTTACTAGTAGAAGGGTAAGTTATTCTAGGTTTTTATAAGGAAGTTTAAAATAATCCTTAGTAAAATTTTAAAATAACTCCTTAATATTTTTTAAATTCCTTAGCTAATTAATAAATACCTTTACTATATATAAAGAGAAATTATTAGTCTTAGACTCCCTATAATATAGTAAAAACTCTATAGTACTAAGATTAAGGCAGAGGTAATAAACTAAAATAATTAAAATAGGCCCTTAGATAGTTAAAGTACCTAAGTGCTAAAGGAATAATATAACCTATTTAAAGTATAAAGTACCTATTAGTAAAAAATATCTATAGTTAACCCTAAACTTACTTATAATAATACCTTAATAAAGTTAAATAAAAATAGTAATAGCCCTGTAATAGAATTAATTTATTAAAAATATAGCGGAGTCTATTTTAGGAATACCTATATTATACCTAATTATATAAAGTATAAAGATTAACGGTATATAATAAAGTACTATAATAACCTTATAAATAAAAAAAAACCTACTAAAGTAAACTTTATCCTAGCTGTAAAAAAGGTATAAGGATATAATAGAGGTACTTCTACCTTATTAATACCTATTATTATAGTTAAGGAGTAAAGCCCTACTTTTAAATAATAAACTAAGATAAAAACTAGGAATAAATAAATAAAAGTAACCTTTATCTTAGATAAAGGTAGTAACGTTAATATAATATACTAGCGACTTATATAACTAAAGGACATTCTATTATATAAAATAAACCTTACCTTATTTATAAAGGACTGTAAAAGTAATATTTATAGGAAAATAATAAAGTTATATAAGATAATAGATAACTAGGGAGTAATAAAAAAGTTTTAAGTCCTCTTCTTTATTATAGCAGACTTAAATTTAAGTATACTACTAAGGAAACTATAGTATAAATTACTAAATACCCTTTTAAACTTTAAAAATAAAACGTAGTATTATTATATCTTTACTAAAAACCTTAAAGTTATAACTTTAAAAAGGTAAGTTTATAAGTAGGATAAGAAAGCTAAGGTATAAATAATTCTAGTGTAAAATAAACTAATAAAAAATAAGGACTTAAAAACAGAATATACCTAATGCCTGCTTTACCTATATAAAGAGTATAAATAAGCGCTAGGAGATAGTAATAAAAAAAAAATAAAAAAACTTCTTTTTAAATACTGTAAATACGTAAAGGTTTTTAATAAAAAGGCTACAGCTAAACTTACGCCCCTTAATAAACTAACATATACAATAGACCTTAAACCTAGGATAACGCCTTCGTAAGGACTAATTTACTCCCTTATAAATAGTAAACTAAAAATCCTTAAAAAATACCTCCGTAAGGTAGAATAAAAAGAATAAATTAAATAATTAAGTAGCCCTACAGGTACTCTAGTACTCTTTATACTTAAGAAAGGAGGTAAGCTACGCTTTTATATTAACTATTATATATTAAACTAAATTACTTATAAAAACCAGGCCCTGCTATTACTAATTTATAAGATCTTAGATAAACTAAAGAAAGTAAAGGTATATATAAAGCTTAACTTTAAAAATATATATTATTAAATTTATATTTGTAAAAGGGATAAATAAAAAATAGTATTTTACTACTACTATAGCTACTTTAAATATTAAGTAATACCTTTTAGGTTAATAAATACCCCTGCTACCTTTTAAAGCTATATTAATTAAGTATTACGTAGGTTAGTAAATTATACTTATATTATATACTTTAATAATATTTTAATATATAGTAGTAATTTTATAAAATACTAGGAGTATATTTAATAAGTCCTTAATAAATTAATAAAATATAGCTTATATATTAATTTACAGAAGTGCAAATTCTATATAAATACAGTCTCCTATTTAAGGTTTATAATTAGCTTAAAGGGAATTTATATAAAGTATAGCTATATTAAGGTTATTAAAGTATAGCTAATTCCTTAAAATGTAATAAAAATCCTATTATTCCTAAGATTTATAAATTTCTACTAGAGGTTTATTAAAGGGTATAGTAAAATCGTGGCCTTATTAATAAATATAACTTATAGAAAAAATAAGGGGAACTTCTTACTAAAATAAGATAAAAAAGCAGTATTTAAATAGCTGAAGTAGAAGTTCCTTAAAACGCTAGTTTTAGTATATTTTAATTCAGAAGCTAAGTTGTAAATTAAAACTAATACTTTAAACTTTATAATTAGTGCTATTTTATTACAGCTATAGGGAGATAGTTAGTACCCTGTTATATATTTATTATAAAAGCTTAACGGGCCTAAATAAAATTATATTATGTCTAATGCTAAAATACTAGCTATTGTAAAGGTGTTTTAAATATAGCGGTACTATGTAGTATACGTAGACTACCCTATACAGATCTTAATAGATTATCTAAATTACAGCTATCTTATAAGAAAAAAAAAGCTATTTAATAAGTAAATATTATAGTTAAAAGAGCTATTGCTTTTTAACTTTATTATTAAATATAAACCTAAAAAGGCTAACCCTACGGATAGGTTATTTTAAAGGGTAGATCTTAGGTATTAGAAAGTAAAAGAGGAACTAAGTTATAGTTACCTATTAGACTTCCTAGGGAGATTTAAAGATAAATAATAAATAAAGGCTAAAATAGTTAGATTAGATAGAACCTTAGATAATTATATACCCTAGGGTTTTTATTTTAACTTAAAATTAAGGTTATACCTTAATTTAATTTGCTAAGTTAGGAGAGTTTTAACTGTAAAGTAAGTAGCTTACCCTTAGTATATATCCTTGTAAATTTTAACTATAATTAAGTAAGTAGTTTAAAGGAGCGCTACTGTAATATTACCGGAAGTTTAATAAATACTTTTTAAAGTACTACTTTAAATATAAAAGAAGGATGCTTTAATTATAAAGTTACTGTAAAAAGAAGTAAAAAAAAAGATAACTATAGATAAGCAGAGGTTACATAACTGGTTTATAAAAGATAACTAACTGCTTTATTATAAAGGATAAACCTTTATACCTCTGGGAATATAAACTAAGGTTTTAATACTATTCTATAATAATCCTACAGCAGGGCACCAAAGGGTTAAAAAAACCTTTATATAAATTATAAATATTTACTTTTAGCAAAGTATAAAATAAAATATAAAAAATTATATTAATATATATATAGTTTACTAAATAACAAAGGTAAAACAGTACTTACTATATAGTAAGCTTATAGTATTACTAACGCCGTTAGAACCTTAGAAAAAAATCTTAATAGATTTTATTATTAGGCTACTAAAGGTTAAGTATAAAAGGCGTAAGTATAACACTATCTTAGTTATTATAAACCGATTTACAAAATATATATTATATATTCTATATTTAAAAAATATTAGTAGTAAAGGACTTATAAATAAGTTCCTTTACTATATATTCCGCCTATATAAAATACTACGGGGAATTATATTAGATTGCAGTTTAGTATTTACTAGCGTATTTTAGCAAAGCTTCTACTACCTTTTAGAATATAAGCAGTAACTTAGTACTATATTCTACCCTTAAATAAATAGTTAAACTAAGAGGCAAAATCAGAACTTAAAATATTACTTTTAGGCCTTTTATAATAAAGACTAAATAAATTAAATACATAAACTTCCTTTAGTAGAATTTACCTATAATATAGCGTAGTATTCAGCAACCTATAAGACTTTTATAATACTACTTTATAGGTTTTAACTAAAGGCCCCGTCAGCCAGCTAGATTTAACTACTATATATAAATAATAATACTATTACGTAAGTTTAAGAAATATAAGATATATATAAAGCAGCTGCATAAACGTTACAGGAAGCTAGCGAATTCTATTAAAAGTAGTATAATAAAGGCTATATAAAAAAGAAGTTTAAAATCGGCGACTAGGTTTTTATTTTAATAAAGTATTTAAACTTACGGAAACTAACTTATAAACTTACTAAAAAGTTCACAGGACTATACTAAATTAAACATATTATAAGTAACAGCAGCCTTATATACTAGTTACAGCTTCTATTATTAGTTAAAATCTATAATGTTTTTAATATTATAAACCTTAAAGAATTTAAAAACTGTAATAGTATATTAACGAAACTACTAGATTACTCCTTTATACTAAATATAATATATAAAGTTAAAAAAATTATTTTTTATTAATATAACAGTAGAAGGCAGTTATACTATATTAAATAAAAAAAGTACTTTAATAAAGAAAATACTTAGATAAAGAAATCTGATTTTGTAAATAGGATAATATTATAAAAGTATAAAACTGCCCTTATAAAATTATAAAATTAACTATATAATAACTATATATAAGTACCCTAGCGTATAAGAAATACTACTAAACACTTTAATAAACGCTTAACTAAATAATTAAACAGCAACCTTAATATAGCAATAGCTACGCAGACGCTGGCTTTAATATACGTTACTATAGTAAAACTATAGTATAAATATAACCTTTAGGGGTAAAATACTAATATTAATACCAGTATAGCCGCTAGTATAAGTACTTTAATACTAAGATTAATAGTAATTTAAAAGTAAAGACGGCGACTTTAATAGTAATATTATAGTAGGTATAAAGCAAAGGATATATAAGCTAAAGGTAGGAATCTTAGTATAGTATTATAAGGCTAAAAGTAGTATTAAAATAGTAAAGTAGATAATGTAGAAAAAAAGCATTAGTAAAAAGGAATAGTAATGCAGGACTAAAATAAAGCAGTAGGATATATATAATAACCTTATATTTCATAGGTAAATTCCTATAGTTAACTATAAACTTATATAGTAATAAGTAAATTCTAAGGTATTTTTTACCTTTAATACTAAATATAGAGCTAAATGTAGTAAATTAATAAGCTAAATAATATAAATACATAATAGTAAGCTTATAAGCCTATTATAAAAAAACAACTACTATTACTTATTAATAATATCCTTTTTATTATTATTATTACTACCTTTAGTAGGAGAAGATATATCCTTAATATTACCTTAAGCTAGCGCTACAGTAGTATTAATATTATAAGTAACTACTAAAAAAAAGGCAGCCTTAAATATAATATCTTTAGGAATAGGAATAGTAGGACAGGGGATAGTAATACTAGCTTACAAAACCTTACTTTAAAGAATAGCTAAGAATAAAGTAAGATAACTGTAAATACCTAGTATATTTATAAAAAAAAGTACTTCCTAAATAAGATTAAAGGTAGTTAATATAAAAGGGAAAGGAATACTTACTAATTAAGATATTATTACTGCAATTACATATAGTAAATTTATAATATCTAGCTAAATGTAAAACTATAAATCTAAATATAGGTTTTAGTACTAACTTAGTAATAAAAAAGTAGGAGAAGTACTATATATTAAACTAATAGACTTTAAATTATAGATGTAAAACCTTAAAAGCTCTTTTTATACTAAGAGCTATAAACTAATAAACAGTTCCTATATAAGTTAGTATTAAATAAGTAACGAAGGGGAGAGTACCTTACATTAGGAAACTATAAAAAGGTCTACTATATTTCCTAGGTAACCTTAATATAAGAATTAGAAATAGAAAAGCAGCCTTTATAACTAAGTTAGTAGTATTAATATTTACTTAAACTATTTAGAGAATTTATTAGTTTATTATAGTAAAGGAGTAACTAGGAAATATATTTTAAATATTAAAGTATATAGCTAAAGGAAAAAGTTCCTTATTATTTTTATCTAGTTTATTAATATAAAAGGTAAAATTATAAAAATACTTATAATATAGTGTTTTACAGCTATTATAAGTTAGTAAAAAAATAGAAATAATAATATAATACTTATATCCTAAGGATAGTAATATTAGCTAAGGTAAAAACAAAAGGAGGTAAGGATAGTTCTTTAATATTAAAGTTATCCTTATTTAATATATAAGGCATATAAGCGCGCTTACGTTTTAGGGTTTAATAAATAGGTTACTTAAGGGTAGTGCAAATGTATATATTTAAAGCTTTAGTAGCATCTTTAAAACGCTATAAAAGTAAGGTTAAGGCTGGGAAATTAATTAAAAAGGAACTACTATAAGGAGATAAAAGCTAATTATTAAGCACTTACTGCTCTACAGCTTTATACTTATTATCTAATTAATAAGGTATTATAATAAATTAAGTAAGCTAAAATAAAAATAAAATTAGTAAAAATAAGGAAAATTAAAAAAAATACCTAGCTATAGAAACGTTAAAGAAGTACTGTAAAAGGGAAAAAAAGTATTAACCTTAGTATTATAAAGTAATAAAGAAGGAAGAAAAGAAAAAAAGGCTGCGGCTGTAAATAGGATTTATTATACTAGCTGTAGTTATAGGATTTTAATTTACTAAGGTAGTAAAGTAACTTAAAGGGAAAAGTAAAGTAAAAGTAAAGTAAAAGTAAATTACAGCTAGCATATAATTATATAAAAAACTTAAAGTTATAAAAGAAAATAAGTTAATTAAATAATACTATTACCCTACTATATAATACAAGGACTATATTATAAAAAGGGGGTATATATATAATTATAATAAATAAACACTACTATATATTACTAGTTATATTATTATCTATAACTATTACACCTTTATTTATAATAATATTAGTTTAAGTTGCCTTACCTTTATAAGCTAGTACAGTAGGAAGGTTATTAATTAAGTAACCCTTAAGGCTTTTAAGCTGCTTTTAAAAAATAGATTAGTAATAAAAATATTATAAAGGCTAAGGAAATATATTAAAAAAAAAACGGAAAGTATAGTATTTATTAACTCTAGAGAATTTATAATATTTAACTACGTTTTTATATTAGTAATATTATAAGCCTATACCTAATAGTAAGCTAAAGTAGTACTTAATACCCTAGAAGTAGTAATTACTATAATTACCGTAGTAGTAACTGCTGCTAAAGTTATAGGTATATTATTAACGCTACAAAAAGTTTTTTTATATTACTATTATAGTAGACTAATAACAGCCTGCTGTAAGTTAAAATAATAATTATAATAAAAGAGTAATAATATACTAGGTCTAGTTAGGCTTACTAAAGCGCATTTAATAATAACTATGCAGCCTAATAATATTAAGCTTAAACAGGAATATATATTTTCCTATAGCTTTTATAAATATATACTATATACTTAGGGCTAGTATTTAAGAGGTAAATTAAAAAAGGACTTAATGTAGAAGGGTTATAATAATAAATTTATTACATTTATATAAAGCAGAGGTTAACTCCTAGCTGTTTATTTATATATATAACCTAGGTAATAATAATAAAGAATAGCTTTATCTACGGGTTAATTATAAGGCTAATATAAGGGAAAAGAGTTAAATATACTAAACCGCCCCTAAGAAGTTAGCCTTTATAAAAATACTAGGTAAGTAAATTAATATAACGTAGGATTTAAGTAGTAAAAGTAAAGGTAATTAAAGGTAAGATTAATAATACTTTACCTTTACTATATTAGAATTTTAATAGGTTTATATCCTCTTTTACCCCTTTATTTTTTATAAAGAAGTATTAACTACTTTAGGTTATAAAGGTAATAAAAAAGTATTATAAAACTATTACTATATTTAACTTCTTATTTATATTTATCCTTAGGAGTATAAAAGGAGGGCCTAAAATAGTAATATATTTATAGTAAAGATAAAGCAAGTATAAAGCTTAAACTATAATAAGGCTTTTATATAGGTAATATTTTTAATAAAGGGGATTAATTATAAAGTTAGGAAAAGGAATATTATTAAAGGCACTAGGGCAGTACCTTAGAAGAAAGGGTAATATATTAGAGCCTATTTAAAGAGGGCGTAGTTATATAACGGCCGTACACCAGCTATATTACAGAGGCGTAAGTTAAGGGTTATAAAGCCCTTAGCTTAGTAATAATACTATAAAAAACCTAAAACCTAGGGAAGGAATTAAGGAAGGTAGAGATAAATACAGTTACTTTACTACCCTAAGCTTATGTATTTACAGTATAGCTACCTATAATTATCCCTTATCCCTCTTTACTCTCTTCCACTAACCTGGCTTCTAATAATAATTACCCTTAGTATAAGGAAGAATTAAAAAGAATAGGTAAAATAAGGGAAGAAATAACCTTGCCTAAAACTACCCTTAATCTAGTTAGGAACTCTATAACTAATAATATAATTTAATAGAACTATAGATTATTATTTTTTAAAAGATAGTTTAGTAATATTCCTAATTTTATTAAAAGTAAATTTAAAGAAATTAGTAAATTTATTAAATTCTAATATTAGGTTAATATTTATAACCCTAAGTAAAATATTAAATCCCTTATTTATTAAAAACTTTAAAATAGACTTATATAATAGCAGCTATATAATAATAAATAGTAAATTATTATAAGTTTAAATATAAATAAAATATAAAAACTTTAAGGAGATTATTAACGAATACCCTAAGATTATCCTTAAATTAACCCTATAAATAATAGTTATTATAAAATTTATTAAATAAGCTATATTACTTATTAATATTTATATTACCTAAAGTAAAAAATAGAATATAATATATTTCTATAAAGAAATTTAGTAATTTTAATTACGGATTTATATTATAAGAAATACTATAATAAATAGAAAGTTATTTATAAATTTCGGGAACTATATATTATAATTCTTAAATTATACTTAACTATATTAGAAAAATATAAAAACCGTAGATAAATTAAGAACTACTTAAGCTATTAATATACTATTTATTAAATTAGGAAGATTCTTTAATAGTATAACTAGAATAAAGGAACTAAAGTATATACTTTCGGATAGTATTAATAATATAATAAGCTAAAGTATTTTAAATACTAAAAACTTAAATTAGAGGAATAGTATAATATAGCCTTAGAAGAAAAATAAGTTAAAGGATAATAATTTGTAAACTAGTTATATAAATTAAGATTTAACTTTAGAACCTATACTAGAACTTATACTAAAGTACTTAATAAACTTTTTTAAAAATACTATAAGCTTTAAAAAATACTTAATAATTTGTAAAATAATAAAATTACTTATAATATATACATTAGGTAAATAAAACTATATTATAAAGTAGTAAAATAAATTAACTATAAAAATCTATATTATAAATTATATATATTACGTAAAATTAAAAACTAATACTTAAAAAACTAAAATAGTTTTTAAATAAAAGGTACTATAAAATTAATAAAAAATTTATATTTTTTAAAAAGGAATATAAATATAATAGTAATAAAAAATAAAAAGTTTTTAAAAAAAAAATTACTTTTATAATAATATAAAATAAAGAACTACTTAAAGTCTTAGTAAACTTTAAGGTAAATAAAAACTATATATTAACTATAATTATAATATATTTATAATTACTATAAATATAAAAGAAAAAACTATATTAATTTTTTTATAAAAAAGAAAAATAGTTTAAATATAATAATAAATAAATAAAAAGATAAATTAATTACCTATATTTTAAAGTATTTAATTAAACTACTTTAGTAGTATATAATATTATTAATATCCTAAAATATAATATCATCTTAAGTATACTATAGCTATACTAATATAAACCCTTAATAATATAAAGCAAAGGCCTAATTTATTAGTAAAATAATAAAAAAACTCTAAATTAAAAAGAAAATAAAGGAAGTTAGAAACCTTAACTCTTAAAGCCTAAAGATATTTTTATATAGTATTAATAAAAGTAAATAAAAGCTATAGAAGCTTAATCCTTAAAAAGGTTTACTAAAGGGAAATAAAACCTATATAAACTTAACTAATTCTTAAAAATTATAAAAAAAAAATATAATAATTAAGAAGAAGAAAAGGAAGAACTTATAAACTTAATAGCTAATATTTTAAAATAATATTAAATATTTAAGGCTTTATTTTAAAAGACTTTAAAGAATTTTAATAAGAGTATATAAATACTACCTTATACTAAATAGGATTATATAATAAAATTAAAGGAAGGGAAATAACTAAAGTACTTTCCGCTGTATAACCTTAATTAGTTAAAACTAGGTACTTTTAATAAATAAATATAAGAATAAAAGGAGAAAGGATATATTAGAATTTCTAATTCCTTAGTATAATACTTTATTATCTTTATCCTAAAAAAAAATAAAAAACTATAATTAGTTATTAACTACTAATAGTTAAATAATATTATAATTAAAAATTAAACTTCTTTATTATTAATATCTAAAGTAAAAAATTAGCTATAAAAAGCTATAATATATACTTAATTAAATTTTACTAATACCTATAGATTAACTTAAATAAAAAAAGGATATAAATAAATAATAGCCTTTAGTACTTTAGGAGAATTTTATAAATTCCTAGTAATACCTTAAGGATTAATAAATACACTTATATTTTTTTAAAAAAGGATTAACTATATCCTTTAGAAATATTAAAATAAATTTATTATTATATACCTAAATAATATCCTAATATATTTTAAAAATAAGGAAAAATATAAGGAATATATATAATTAGTACTTTAAGTATTATAAAATAACTACCTTTTTATAAACCCTAAGAAATATTAATTTTATATATAAAAAGTAAAATTTTTAAAATATATTATTACCCTTAGAATTATATAAATAAATTTAAAGAAAGTTACTATTATTAATAAATAATTAACTTTAACGTTAGTTAAAAAAGTATAAAGTTTTATTAAATTAGCTAACTATTACTAATACTTTATTTAAAATTTCTTAGTTCTTACTTAACCTTTAACTAATATAATAAAAAAAGATTAAAAGTT